ATAATATGAATTAAAGAGAATACTAATAAACAGCTTGAAGAAAGCCCCAAGCGAAATTTGCTGCGGTTCACGGAACTTTTCGATAACACATCGACGACAGCGCGGGCCACATATATCCCGCAATTCCGCTCGTAGGAGGCTCGTCCTACTTAATTTATGCCTCCATTTTGATCTATTAGAGTGTTCAATATGTCATCGGCTTGGAAAATAGTGCACTTTTTATTCATACTGAAATTATTGGTGAATTAATCAGTATTGATGAAAAATTCTGAAAAATGATAGATACACTAAACGGCGGTCGTCGATGTGTTAATCGAAAAGTTCCGTGAACCGCAGCAAATTTCGCTTGGGGCTTTCTTCAAACTGTTTATCAGTATTCTTTTTAATTCATATTATTTCATTATTACTAGGCAAATTCTTGTAGGGTTTCCTTATTTTCTCGGATCATTGTGAAATTTTAACTTAACTTTCTTCAACTTGACTTTAAACTTTCTCTTTTTAGATCATTATTCCCCTACTTACGATAGATGTTTCCGATATTTTGTGGAGATGTTTCCGATATTTTGTGGCGGTTTCAGGTCGATTGGGCTGTCGGTACTCTGGCAAAGGCAATCTATGCCCGTATGTTCACCTGGCTCATTAAACGTGTGAATAAGACACTTGCAGCAAACCTTGAGGAATCTGCGCACTATATTGGAGTGCTTGACATAGCAGGATTCGAAATTTTTGATGTAGGTTGGAAATATTTCAATAGTTCTCAATTTTCAATCTATACGAGGTATCCTAAATTGCAGTCTTCAGCCAACAAAATCCTTTCCTATGCTATGATCCTTACTGTAGAGGCGTTGACATCGCCCCTGCATATCCACACCATTTCAATAGTCGCTGGCACATCAATGCAAGCGATGCTTCAACGGTCTCTACACTGTGCTTCGTCCCTCCCTATCCCTGAGCATCACGCTAGGCCGATGTCAGACTTTGCGAATCGCGCGATTCGCTAGCGTCTGCGGTCGCGTCGCGGCCAGTGAATCACTCAATTGGCTGGTACCGCAACGCGACCGCGGACGCTAGCGAATCGCGCGAATCGCTAGTAGCGAATCGCGCGATTCGCAAAGTCTGACATCGGCCTTTAGGCAGCTGCAGCAGACACTAGTCGCCAGCAGCATTACTAGATATATGATTTGGCAAATAAAACAATGAACCTCCTCGGAGGCTCAAAAGTACTGCCTAAAGATGTCAACTGGAAAGGGAAGACAGATGCTGGAGCAGATAATATGTGGCGCGTGTTGAGGCTGAAGGAGCTCCTGGAGCGACTCGGAGTCACATTGACAAGCGGGAAAAGCAACGCCGTTTGTAGGCGGATAGGCGCTGGGAGGGCCTCGACACGTGTGGCAGCGTGGCTAGATGAAGCTTAGCCGTATTTCCCAAGCAGGGCCAACCGTCGCGTTCCCACTTCTCAAAAATTTATGCGACCCTCCGCAACCCACTCACCGCCAGCACCTCAGGAGGCTCACCCAATGCAACCCTCCTCCCCCTACCACGCCCACCACCCTCACCATAACGTTCACCAATTTTTCACCTCATTCTTTTTTTCGCTGAATCATCAAAAATCCCTGCAATTGGATGCAAGCTTCACTCGCACTTTTCCCTTATGGTTATCGTCTCCCATCCGTGATTGCAACCCCCCCCCCCTCGAAATTACAAAAATTGCAAATGCAACCCTATGTTTGAATAGTGCGAACGGACGGTTGACCCTGGTCCCAAGGTTCCACTACGCGCTATTCCACCAAAGGCGGCGCTGCAGTCTCCGCCTCTTGGTCACTGTGTTAAATGCCTCAAAGAAATTTCTACCCATTTTTCACTAGGCCTTCGAGTTTCAGCTCGCTCATTTAGCTGCCTTCGGTCAGAGTCGCTAGAATTTCTTCATCTACTGACGAGGAAATCCTTTGCCATGGCCATTCAAAAAAAATGTAGACCACTAGACGTGTCTTTGGATGTTGATCTCAAATTGTACCCTTCAAATCTGCTAAACTATCCTCTGAACAGATTATCACAAGAATGCTGAGTTGTGGGCAAAACTTTCGCCCCAGCAGGGATTCGTACTCGGATCTTTT